ATCTGGCACACCCTCCTCTTTCGCAAAGTCCCTGAGAGCCCCAAGGGGAGGCATTGTAACTATGTAGTTAGTGGCAGGGAGTGTTGCTGCAGCTGAAGGCACAGACTACAGCAGCAATATAGGCAAACACAGCAAAACAGCCTTATATTCAGGACCCAGCAGAAACTCTTGCCAGCTAGAAGGTAAGGAGGATACAAGGGAGCCACAAGATCAGCCATCAGGTGTGTCCAAGGCCTCTGTTTCTTCACGTGGCCTAATAAATCAGTAAAGTTCTGGTGGTAGTCTGATATACAGGTACCCATTCAGTCTTAACTATGGCACATGTCTCGTCTTGAGCAGCTGAACTACCTTCCCCCTCTGCATGGTTTTAGCAGTTAATAGCTGCAAGCTTTCCCTACTATCATTCAGGGCTGTTTAGGAAAATTGGTCATAGCTTCAATGTGTCCCGTCATTTCTAAGGAGCCAAGAGGAGTGACAAAAATAGTTAAAAGATAATCATACCAGTGGAAAACACTGTGCTTGGTCCACCTAGCTTTTGCCATGGGGTAATTTAGAGGTTTTGGTATAGATTCCCTGAGGGTCCCTGTGGTGTAGAGCAATCCCAGGGTACAATGCCCTATCCAATTGTATGATAACCATTCTTCATTTCTTCCATTCTCTTTAGCTACTTTACATTCAAGAGCAAGTTCAGAGTCTCTTCTGGCATCCATTTTAGTCCTTTGTTTCTTCCCTGTCTTTTTAATGACCTTCTGCTTTCTTCATGTATGATGTCCCTGATGTCATCATACAACTCGTCCGGTCTTTGGTCATTTACGTTCAGTGCATCAAATCTGTCCTTGAGATAGTCTCTGTATTCAGATGGGATATGCTCAAGGTATATTTTGGCTCTTGTGGACTTGTTTTAATTTTCTTCAGCTTCAACTTGAACTTGCATATGAGCATTTGATAGTCTGTTCTGCAGTCTGTTCCTGGCCTTGTTCTGACTGATGATACTGAGTTTCGCCACTGTCTTTTTCACAGAGGTAGTCAGTTTGATTCCTGTGTATTTTATCTGGCAAGGTCTGTGTGTAAGGTTGCCATTTATGTTATTGAAAAAAGGGTATTTCCAATGAAAAAGTCGTTATCTTGCAAAATTCTATTGTGATGTCTGGCATCATTTCTGCCACCATGGGCATATTTACCAAAATCCTTCTTTGTTTCCGCCATCTGTATTCCAATCACCAGTAGTTATCAGTGCATCTTGATTGCATATTTGATCAATTTCAGACTGCAGAAATTAGTGAAAGTCTTCAATTTTTTCATCTTTGGCATTAGTGGTTGGTAGGTTAATTTCAGTAATAGTCATTTAACTAGTGTTTTTGTAGACATATGGATATTATACTGTTACTGACAGCATTGTATTTCAGGATAGACATTGAAATGTTCTTTTTGACAATGAATGTGATGCTATTCCATATCAATTTGTAATTCCTGTCATAGTAGACCATGAGATTGTCCAATTCAAAATGGTCAATACCAGTCCCTTTCAGTTCACTAATACCTAATTCAGTTCACTAATACTAATACCTATCTTTAAGTGTTCAATTTCATTTTTTGACAACTTTCAGTTTTTCTTGAGTTATACTTCATACATTCCATGTTCTCATTATTAATGGTTGTTTGCAGCTGATTCTCCTCATTTTGAGTCATGCTAAATCAGGAAATGATGGTTCCAAAAGATTTACTCCATCCATGCCATTAAGATCAACTCTGCTTTGAGGAGACAGCTGTTCCCTAGTCATCTTTTGAGTGCCTTCTACCCTGGGGGCTCATCTTCTGGCAGTACATTAGGCAATATTCTGTTCCTATTCATAAAGTTCTCGCTGGTCAGTTTTTTAAGAAGTACATCACCAGGTTCTTCTTCCTAGTCTGTCCTAGTCTGGAAGCTGTGCTGAAACCTGTCCACCATGGATGACCCTGCTGGCATTTGAAACATTGATGCCATAGCTTCCACCATCACAGCAACATGCAAGCCACCGCAATGTGACAAACTGACAAGGGGTAGAAATATGTGTAAACCCTTTAAAATAGTACCAGGCACAGATTAAGCATCATTTAAAGGTTTGCTATCATTATTATCTGTTGGCATAGTGCCTAAGGCATTTGACTGCTAACCAGAAGGCTGCAGTTCAAACTCATTAGCTACTCCTCTGAAGGAAGATTGGGCAATCTACTTCCGTAGAGATACTGCCTCGAAAATCCAAGGAGGGATTGCTATGAGTTGGAAACGACTTAACAGCAGTGAGTTTGGTTTTTTGGTTTGAGTTAGTTGTCTGTAAGGCAATTTACTTTAGTGGGGCAAAATAAAGTACTCTTAAGAAATGCCTCTCCCAAAGCGCATACCCAAACTGGTCTGTAATGTGTGTTGTGATGTTTAAATTCACAGTGGCTTCCAAACTTGGGGATGAATTTTCCTTGGCTCTTCTGACTCAAGAGGAGCAAAAGAGGTTTTTAACAGTGAAGAAGAACTAGGAGCCCTAGTATGAGCAAACATGTTAGGTCCTTCGCAGTGCTAGAGTTCTACCAGCTCTTCAGGGAGGGATTAGAAGCACTTAGTATATTTGGGACAATAATGAGGGCTTGAGCCATGGAGATAGCAGTGAGAATGGAAAAAAGGAAACAGAAGATCTGAGAGACATTCCAGGGATGGAATAGATTGGACCAGGTGATCCAGTATGACAACTGAATGAGATGAAAGGGTTAAAGGTGATTCTGAGTAAACTTAGTGGGTGATGCTGCTGTGTGTAGAGAATGCCTTATGAGGAAGGAGTGGAGTAAGAGGGAAGAAAACCAGCTTGGCTTTGAACATATTCAATTGGATTTATTTGCAAGATTTCCACATAGTAGTGTCTGGGAGGCAGCACAGGATAGGAATCAGGAATCTTCAGCCTAGAACTGAGTGTTAAAATCTTGCAAGTGATCAAATATAGTTCTGGGTAAGGATATAGAGAAAGAAAAGTATTGAAAATAGAACCCCAAAGCCCACCTATACTTAAAGGATAAAGGCCAGTGACTGCTCCTACTAGTTGACATTTATATAACATTTACAACAGGCACACAAAAAAATTTTATCACTCACATCTCTATCTGTATTATTATCCCCATTTACAGATGGTGAAAGTAGGGACAGAGAGGTTAAGTAATTTACAAGATCACATAACTAGTAAATGGTAACGTCATGGTTATGAGCCTAGGCAACCTGGCTTGAAAGTCTGTGTGCCCAACCAAATTGAGAAGAGGGGCTGAGAATAAATAGGGAGGAAGAAAGCAGGAAAGAATGGGATCTCTAAAGCGAGGGATGAAACAGTTTCTGGAAGTGGACAGCGGTGTCAGCTGTGCCTAAGGGGAAGCCAAGGAAAGTGGTAACCTGGGGAAGCATCTTGAGATACTCCTACAGGAGAAATCTCAGTGGACTTTGTGGTGGTCTACTGCCTACAATGTGTGGAACGTTGAGGGAGAAGTAAGGGCTAGAGTTGGGGACAGGAGGACTTTCTTGCAAGAAGTTTGGTCTTGAAGGGGAGGAAAGAGAGTGGCAGGTTAAGGGGGTGGCAAGGACCAGGGTCAGCCACTACTCTGTCTAAGAAAAGTGCCTGGTGATGTTTCGTTTCTCTGATGTTCCTGCGAGAATCTGAAGCTCAAAGCTCAGAGGGCTAAGCCCTACTTCCCAACTGCATGTCAGTTTCATGGCACACTTCACAATAGAGAGAGATGGGAGCTTCACTAGTGGCTAACCAGGGTTGAAAGATTCAGTTCTATTTCTTTCGATCCAGAGCTTGCCATATTTTCTTTCTCCTCCCCCTAACTTTGGTATCTTGATGGTGGATAACCAGTTGTCCTAGATTCTGACTCTTGGCAACTCCACATGTTTCAGGGTAGAAATGCACTCCATTGAGTTTTCAATAGCTATAATATTAAGGAATAGACTGCCTTTCTTCTGGGGAGCAGCTGGGTGAATTTGAACCTCCAACCTTTCTGTTAGTTGCTGAGAGCAAACCTTTTGTGCCACCCAGGGACTTTCTTAATAGCAGTTAAGGACCTGGTATTAGTTTCTATTGCTGCATTACAACTTGCCACAAATCTGTCACCTTAAAACAATACCCATTTATTATAGGCCAGAAGTCCAGGCAAACTCAGCCAGGTTTTCTACTTATGGTCTTCCAAGGCTGAAATCAAGGTGTTGGTAGAGCTGGGTTCTTATCTGGAGGCTCATGGAGGAATCTCTTGCAAGTTTATTAAGGATGTTGGTAGAATTAAATTCTTTGCAGTCTGAGCATGCTACTTGATCATATTCAAAGTCTTGGGGATTAAGGCAAGAATTCTTTGGAAGACACCTTAGAATTCAGCCATCCACAGACCAAAAAAAAAAACCAAACCCACTGCTTCCAGTGGATTTGCACTCATAGTACTCCCTCCTTCGGTGTCTGAGATGATATCTCTACAGAAGTAGATTGCTCAGTGTTCCTTCCAAGGAGTGGCCAGGGGGTTTGAACCGCCAGCCTTCTGATTAGCAGGCAGATGCCTTAGGCACTATGCCACTAGAGTTCCTATGCATACATAGACCATGGTTGTTAATAGAATAACTCTGAGCCAATCACTTAGAGGACCTTCCTAGAGAATGCAGGAAGTAGCATGGGTCTCCACTGAAGTCCACCCTGTCTACTCTAAACTTCTCTCTCAATTAGTCCAGGAATCTGAAGGGTGTCTAGCCCCAGCCCCAAGATATCCTTTGAGATATTTACTGTGGGGTTCACAGAGTGGTGCACAGAATGAAGCTGCGGAGGCATTTGAACAAGGAAAAGAAATCTCTGCAGCTGCTCCCCAGGGGTATCCCGAGCCACTGGGCATGCAGGGAGGGGACTACTTGAAGTTTCACTAGTTAATAGTGATTTTCTCCTTTTCAGGAATCTTCCACAGAAATAGCACCCAGCTAGAGTGAGGCCTGTGTACTGCCTTGGCCCAGGATGTCAAGAGAATTGAGGGCAAGTACAGTTCTGGATGCTCAGTCCACAGAGGACCAGATGGGACTTCTAGTCATAAAAGTGGAGAAGGAGGAGGCCTCTGCCTTTGCAGGGGAGGCGCATTTGCCCAACAGTACTACGCTAGGCCCTGAGCGCGCCCGCCAGCTCTTCCGGGGCTTCTGCTACCCAGAGGCTGCGAGGCCCCGCGAGGCACTGAGCCGACTCCAGGAGCTCTGCCGGCAGTGGCTGCGGCCTGAGGTGCACAGCAAGGAGCAGATCCTAGAGCTGCTGGTGCTGGAGCAGTTCCTGACCATCCTGCCGGGGGCGCTGCAGAGCTGGGTGCGGGAGCAGCATCCAGAGAGCGGGGAGGAGGTGGTGGTTCTGTTGGAGTATTTGGAGAGGCAGCTGGATGAACCGAGGCCACAGGTAGAGACTACTGGTTTAGTATGTGACAGCTGTGGTTTCTTTCTTTCTAAAATCTCAAGATTGGAGTGAGGGGCATTCCTTTAGATTCAGGGGTCCTCCATCTTTTTCTGTACCACGAACCTCTTTGGCAGTAAAGTCCCTCGACCCCTTCTCAGAATAATATTTTTAAATGCATAAAGGAAAATATAAAGGACTGAAAAGGCAATCAGTTACACTGAACTACAGTTAGCAAAATATTAAGCAGATTTATAAATTACATATGTCCTTTTTTATGAATGAACTAAATAATAAGATATAGAGGCAGGTCTAATAACGTGTCGTTTCAAGATGGTGATAAGCATGATGACTCTGAAGATATTGACTTGGTTGTTATGTGAAAACATCTACAATTTCTGTTGACAAATTCATAGATACAGCTCATGCTACCTTGGTTTATTGCTTGCAGCCATAATTGAAGGAAATCCTGAATTTCACTTAGAGGCTAGTAAAATGAAAAAAAATATATTTATTCCTTCTAGGCCAAGGAAAACCTGGGAAGGAGTCCGTGGGTCACTGGTTAAGAGCCCCTGGTAGAAATGGTTTATTTTTCTCTGCATCTTCCTGTCTATTGTGTAAGACTTTTCTTTTTTGCATTTTCCTGTGTCCTTATGTGTGTTCCTTCAGGGGATATGACCCAAGTAAAGCCTTCTAACCAGTGATCTGGAGTCCAAGATGCTTGACTTGTATCTACTGCACCAAGTCATGTAACAGTGAAAAGTCATTTCATGTCTTTTAAGTTGAGGCTCTTCATTCTTCAGAAATTCTGAGCTGCACATGATCATGAAAGTGACTCAAAAATTGTAATTGAACTGTAAATTTCTGTTAAGAAATATACATTTAATGAGGACATGCCATGTGTGAGGCCCTGTGTTAGGCGATTTCACATACTGTGTTGTTATATACTGGTCCCTTGAACCCTGTCAGTCAGAAATTTCTATCCTCATTTAGCACTACTTTCCAAAGGGTTTTCATAAAGGCACAAATGTATATAATGATGGAGCATAGAATATTTGTGGAAAACATGGACTCTGGAGTCATTTGGCCTGAGCTCCCAATCTAACATTGCCACTAACTAGCTGGGTGACCTCAGACAAGCTTCTCAAACTCTGTGCCTCAGTTTCTTTATCAGTAAAATGGACATACTAACAGGGTTTTTGTCCATGTTAAATAAGTTAATATTTGTAAAGCTATGAGAAACAGTGCCAGGCACATAGAAAGCACTATAGAATGTTTAGTGAATAAATGAAAATAAAAACAGATTAATGACTTCTAGGTCCCAGGTGGTGACTGGGGACAAGAACTGCTCTGTTGCAAGATGGCACTGCTGACAAGAGCCTGGGGGTCACAAAGTAGTCAATTCCAGCCAATGAAGGCTCTGTCCAAGCATGAATCTCTGGGATCCTGGCCCTTACAAAACAAAGGTGAGGATTATCTTCCGGGCACTATGAATTCTACAGACTTCATCCAGTTTCATGTGAGGGTCCTCTGAAAGCCTGATTCATTGACACTTACTTTATATGCTTCTCACTTTAAAAAAGAAAAAAAAAAAAAAAATGAATAAGACTAAAAAGACAGTTTCAAACACAGTGATGGAAAGAATGCTTTCCTAACCAAGCCTGGACATAGTAAATAAGATTTTACTAAAATTGGGGTTTAGAAAGAGTTGATTTTTTTTAAAGAATATAGTGTTCTCCCTTGATTTAACATGTTTATAGAAGTTTCCTATGTGGTAGCCAGTGTTGTTGGCCAGTGACATTGCTAGAGTTAGTTTTAGTCTGCCCCCCCATGGGCTGGCGACAAAATCACCCCTGCTGGGCAGAAGCCCCTGTCTCAGCAGGGCTGAGGGGCTCACCATTTGTCTCCCTACAGCTCCTCCTCTCTCCCATCAGCCAAGGTGGAAGCTCTCCCTTTCCAGTGGCGAGCACAGTGGCCCACCTGCCAGCACCATGACTGATCGGTGTCAGGATTGGGGGAGTTATTGCACTGGGTGATGAATGACATCAACCCTAGGGATGCCAGTGCCTTGGTGGCCCCTTCCTTTGCCATGCCAGCCACCTGGCATGAAGGTGCCCACTGCTGCTGACTCTGTGCTCATTTTGGTATCACCCCCTCTGGCAGTGCCAGGGAGTATAGTCTGTACCCCCTAGCCCCCAAGTGACATCACTGTTGTTGGCATGGAGATAGAGCCATCAGTGAGACAGATCCTTGCTTCATTGGAGCTTATATTTAATAGCAGAAAAAAACAAATTTATGTTACAATTTCACATAGTGGAAAGTACCATGAAGAAAATAAGGCAGAATTTGTAAAGCCAGCCAGAATACTCCACAGATCGTAGAACTATTGCAAAATGAAAAATATAAGTATCCTAAACCCTATTTCTGTTATTAGAACTGTATGAAAATCACTCCATAAGAACCAGCTGTCTATTCCTAGGTAGGTGCCCTCTCATATGCCCTGAATGTGTGTGCAGGTTCACAAGACATGCAGCACTGGGACAGGCCAACCAACGTGCATTCTTTTCTCAACAGTTTCTAGCCTAAACCAGCTTGTTTTCTGCCCCTTGCAGTTTGCCTCCTGTAGGAAACCTGAAGTTCTTTACATTTTTTTCCCTCTTGAACCTGAGAAAGGTCTATACAAGTAGACTCTCATTTTCTTTTTCCTGGGCCCAGCTCTGCTTCTTCTGGAAGCAGAAAGCATCCTAACCAAAACCAAACCAACTGTGATTCCAGCTCATAGACCCCATATGTTGCAGAGTGGAACTGCACGCCGTAGGGTTTTCATGTCTGTGACATTTTGAAAGCAGATGACCAGGCCTTTCTTTTGAGGTGCCTCTCAGTGGATTTGAACTGCCTGCCTTTCTGTTACCAGCTAAGTGCTTGTCCAATTGCACCACCCAGAGCCTCCGAGAAAGCACCCTGTTGTTGTTTGCCCTCAAGTGGATTCCAACTTGTAGTGACCCTGTAAGATCGGGCAGAACTGCCCCATGCAGTTTCCAAGGCTGTAATCTTTACTAGCAGATTGCCAGATCTTCTTTCCTGCAGAGCAGCTGGTGGATTCTAACTGTGACCTTTTGGTTAGCAACCAGGTGCTCAACCGTTGTGCCACCAGCAGTCCTTAGAAAGCAGCCTCATAGTGACTAAAGACATTTCAAGCAAAAATTCTATTTTACCCCCCTGTTGTCAGTTGCCTGTGAGTTGATTCTGACTCATGGTGATCCCACATGTGCAGAGTGGAACTGCTACATAGGGTTTTGGAGGCTGTGATCTTTCAGAAGTAAATCTCCAGCCCTGTTTTCAAAGGTGCCTCTGGGTAGTAGTCAGACTTTTGGCTAATTGTTGCATGAGCAACCATTTGTGCTACTCAGGGGCCCCTTGTTCCAGCAAAATTCAGTACTAAAGGATCTTCAAATAGAAAGCTCTTTTTACTTTGTTTTTGTAATGGCTTCATTTCTCCATTCCTACCAAGGGTCCCGCCCATGTTTTTTTTTTTTTTCTTTTCTTTTTTTGTCTCTGCAGGAGCATACAGCTCTCTTCAGGTCTTAGGATCTGAACAGGTAGGGATCAGGCATTTTGTAAAGAAACACTTCGGATAAACATGTTTGGAAGGAATTTATTAACCGAGTTTTTGACCTTGGATTCCCCAGGGCAGGGAGGCTGAATTCCAGGGTAGATCTCATCCATAGCTTCTTTCCTTCTTAGTTCTTCAGGTTCCTGGTCTTGCCCAGGAAGGAGGCTGCAGAGATGACCCAGTAGTAGCTGCCAAGCTCATGCCAAAGTCCCAGGTGAGCTGGGGTCCCCCATCTCTCCTCCAACACTTTTTACTTTTGTTGGGCTTCCCACGAAGGGCCTTCCCTCCCCAGTACTCCTCTACCCTAATCCCAGATTGTGAAAGTGGCACTGGGATATCTGACCTTGTCTGACTTCAGGAGGGAGAGAGAATCCTTATCAGCATCAACCTGAGTCTGATTCTGTCAGGTGGAGGTCAAACATATCTCCTCTCTCCAACCTTTTTACCAATTCTGACACAGCCGTCCCTCCCACAGCACTCTTTGCTACTCTGCTGGGTTCAATAATTCATTGTGCTGCTCGGGGGCAGTCCTGAGGCTTATTCGGAAGCAACAGGTTACAATTCAGGATCAGGAAGTATGTAGCCAAAGTCTCCCCTCTTCAGTTCAGGACAGCTCTCTCAGCTCCTCTCAGCTGTGCAGGTCTTTTCTCGGCTCCCTGAGGATAGGCTCCTCTTGGTCCCGAGGACTGGCCTCCTCTCTCAGCCCTTCGCCCTTGGCCCTGCCTCTGCCCTGTTCAGGCAAGTGTTACAAAGCTCTTTAGCTCTGCTAATAAGTGGCTAGAGGCAAACCCCACTCCATCAATAAGCTTTGACCTGAAGGTGCTCAGCTCTCTCGCTCCACTCTGTGGTCTGTGAGCCTGACTCTGGCAAGTGCCTGGAGGCATGTCATTCTACCAGCAAACCTCCTGCCTGAAGACACTCAGCTGTCTTGCTTGGTGGGTTGGCATGCCTACTGTAGCTGTCTTGCTCCATGGGCTGGGAAGCCCACCACACAGTCTTGTACCAGTCTCCTGGTTCTGCTGCTCCATTTTTCTGCTGCTGCTCCTCATTGTCTCGTGCCTTCTCTGCTGTTACAGCTCTCTGTCTTCTGGGTCTAGAGGGTCTCAGTTGCAGGAATCTTGGGTACAAAGGATGTGCCCCACTTCTGGCTCTTCTTTCTTGGTGGTAGTGAGGTTCTGCCTCTCTGCTCTGGGATTAGCTTCATTTTTAAACCTAACAGGATGGCAAAATGGACCAATCCCCTTGTTAGGGTTCCAGATACCTTATTTGTGTGAAGTTCCAAATACCTTACTTTCATTATTAGCAGACTGTCTAATCCCCTTGGTAAGCCACAAGCATTTATTTGCATAGTCCCACCCAGTGATTACTAAACTATGAATGGCTAACAGGGCCATATAAAGTAATTCACTGCACCACAAAGATCCACCTGGGTTTTGAGCTTTCCCATCTATTCTAAGATTGTTTTTCACTGTCCGTCTTCGTTTTTGTGCACACATAAGAGGCTTTTCCTGTTTTACTCCTAGCTTGCAGAGATGTCTTTCTTTCCAATCTTTTCTACCCTGTCTGCTTGGTCAGCTCTTTCATCTGGAATTTTTTCCTTCAGCCAAGGGCAGCTTAGTGAATGCAAACTGAGGATTTTTATGTGATGCTGTTTTTTTTTTTTTTTTTTGTTACTTAATTTTATTTTTTAAACTATTGTTTTTTCAAAAAAGTTTTTAATTGCCTCATTAATGAGGGAAATAAAGACATGAACTTGGTACTCAAGGAGCTCATACTTAAGGGACATGTAAGGCCTATCCTTTTAAGTCTAAAATTATTTATGGTATCATTTAAGTAATCTATTCTGACCTGAATTTTCATTTCTTACCCAATCTTTTATTTATAAGTCTTGCTAGAAGGTCTCACAGTTTAAGGCACTGTAGTTTTGTCCATTTTTCCTCCACCCCAGACTTAGACTTTATTGCATTTTAAAAATTATTAATATAAATAAGCTCCCATCCCTGCTATGCTAAAAAAGTACAACATTAATTAATTAATTTTGGATCTCATCCACTCCTTTCACTGTGTTGGCCTTTATTTTCCAAATCTTCTCACTTTCTAGACTGTTGTGTAGGTATTTAAATGAAAATACTTACTCTAATCTGTTTAATATGTTTTTTTGTTAATAAAAATATTACTAAAAGTTAAGTAGGTATAGGGGCCTTGCTTGCTCTTTTTTGCAGAGTGCCTTTAAGCAGGATGTTCATTCTTTGTGTGTGTCCCACACTGCAGTGTCCAGCTTTGGGAGTGACTTGGGGCAAAAGAATAATGTGGGATTGCCTCTTGTTTCAGGGCTTGCTGAGAGTAGAAGATGTGGCCCTGACCTTCTCCCCTGGGTGGGCACAACTGGACTCATCTCAAGTGAACCTCTACAGAGATGAGAGGGAGGAGAACTGTGGCAGCCACAGCTCCCTGGGTAAGATGATAGGCACTCATTTCTCTTAAGGTTTTTTGTTTTCTTTGTGTATTAGAACGTATGGGGCTGCTAGAAGCTTTGGAGCTCCAAAGTAACATTTCTGAAACCTAGGTATGAAACAGTTGTGTGACCAGTTCCTTAACCCTTCTGACCTTGTTTTTTTTTTTTCTTTGCTCCGGAACTTTTCTAATCAAGTTAAGTGGGATATAGTAGATAGAGCCCCTTAGCATAGGCCTGGCTGATAACAGGTGCCCAGTGCATATTGTTTTCCTTTCCTTCCCTTCTTAGGACCTGATGGGGAAGAAAGCTGAGGGGTCTCTTCAGGACATGGGCTATAAGACTGTAGAGGGTGAGAGCTAGAAGCAACCTTAGAGATAGATGAGGGTGCAGAGGCACAGAGATGGGGTGACTTGTCTCAGTTCACACAGCTCATTGTTGGTACAGTAGGGACTCCAAACTCAGCTATCTCAGCACCAAAGCCAGTTCTGTTTTGCAGACCCTGCCTTTTCCTGGGGCGAAGTCAGACATGACTGTCTTTCCATTGGTCAGTGACCAATTTGAGTCCGCAGTTTACCTATTTCTAACAGAATGCTTCCAACCCTTTGACTTGCCCCTTTTACTATGGCCTCTTCTCAGCTTTCTCAGTATTTAATGCTAGGGCTATGGCCCTGCCTTACTGTTCTTAGAGCAAAGAGCCTCTCTGCATGTGTCCATGGCACAGTTTCCATCTTCACCACCCTCCTTCCATTCCCAGTTTGTACCCGTCTTCCAATGGTCTCATTTTCAGTCTTAAGTCTCCCTCCTTCCCAGCACGCCTGTTTTTCCCCGTTGTGACCATCTTCATTCTTGCACTCAATTCCTCATACCTCACATATACAGAACATTGGAAGCCTTGCCCCCTTGGTACTTATCACAGAGCGTGCCTTCCATGACAGGGTAAAATTGATAGTCACCAGTCATTTGTCGTTTCAGGTAATGAAATATGGACTAAGATCAGGGACTTGCCTCCCGATGAGGAAAATCCAACACAAGAGCCTGGGGCGATCTCATGCCCTTTGGGTGAAGACATTGCCCAGATTTCTCCATGTGTAGAAGCCAGTGAACAGGAGGGCAGGTTACACAGAAAGCAGAAAAATGCCACAAAGAAGAGGCGGCACTACTGTCATGAATGTGGAAAGAGTTTTGCTCAGAGTTCAGGCCTTAGTAAGCACAAGAGAATCCACACTGGGGAGAAACCCTATGAATGTGAGGATTGTGGTAAGGCCTTCATTGGGAGCTCTGCCCTCATCATTCATCAGCGAGTCCACACTGGCGAGAAGCCATATGAGTGTGAAGAATGTGGAAAGGCTTTCAGTCACAGCTCAGATCTTATCAAACACCAAAGAACTCACACTGGGGAGAAGCCCTATGAGTGTGACAGCTGTGGGAAGACATTCAGCCAGAGCTGCAGCCTCCTTGAACACCACAGAATCCACACCGGGGAGAAGCCCTACCGGTGCAATATGTGTGGCAAAGCCTTTAGGCGGAGTTCACATCTCATGAGACATCAGAGGATCCATGGTGGGGATAAAAATGTTCAGGATTCGGAACATGGAGGGACCTGGGAAAGTCAAGATAGAATGGAAAGCCAGTGGGAAAATGTTGAAGCTCCCATATCTTACAAATGTAATGAGTGTGATAGAAGTTTCACTCGAAATAGAAGCCTTATGGAACATCAAAAAATTCACACTGGTGAGAAACCCTATCAGTGTGATGCATGTGGAAAAGGCTTCACCCGAACTTCATACCTTCTTCAGCATCAGAGAAGCCACGTGAGAAAAGAATTCTAACACAGTGACCCATGTCGTATGTGCCAAAGGTGGTGCTTATTCTTCATGGGACTGAAGCCACCCTAGTTGTTGTTGTTGTTGTTGTTGTGTGCCGTCGAGTCGACCCCCGACTCATAGCGACCCCTCCTTGGGTTTCTGAGGCAGTATCACTACGGAAGTAGGATTGCCCAACCTTCCTTCCAAGGAGTGGCTGGTGGGTTTGAACCGCCAGCCGTCTGGTTAGCAGGCAAGAGTCTTAGCCACTTATTAGGTTTATTATTATTGCATTTTGAGAGTTCCTCATATTTTTTGGATACAAGTCCTTTATTAGATATGTCATTTGCAAGTATTTTCCCCCAGTCTACAGCTTTTCTTTTCATTCTCTTAAAAGTGTCTTCCAAAAGCAGAAGTTCATAACATTTTCTTTGAAGTGTAATTTTTCAGGTTTTTGACACTTTTGGTCTTATATAATGATCCTTAAATCACATGAGTGGTACTATCTCCTCAGTTATTCATGTCAGAATATTAAGATGTTAATGCCTCAGGCTAACTAGTTTTCTCCAAACACAATTTGTAGACCATCCTTTTTTTTTTCTTCATGATAGTCAAAGTTTCAGTGTTGTGAATTCAAGGGAGGGGTCATTATTATGTGATTAGCATTATATATAAATAGTATTTATTATATATATCTTAAATGGAGTTGGTGCTATAGAAGTCTTTCAGAATAACTGCTTTTCTGCAAACATTTTTTGTTGGTGTATCACTTATTATAGAAACATACTTTTGTTTTGCATCTAAAAACCAAGTGGTGTCTGGTACTAGTAATCCCTCCTTGTTTAAAGCATCAATCTGAGACTCTGGAATTGATATATAGCAAAGTTCTGGTCAGCTTTTACAATCGATGGGTTAACCATTATGATATATCCCCACTTGCTCTATGTATTTTGTTTATTAGGAATTGAATCATCACCCAAAATTATTTGCAGATTGATCCATGTCCTTTTTATGCCAATTGCCAATGGTTGGTGGTAGTACTTCAAGGGTTTCAGGACCTAGAGTAGTGAAAACCCTATGGGTTACAATGGAACATTGTGCCATCTACAACCAATTATAGGGATGGGACGGGACTGGGCAGCATTTTTTTCCATTGTGCATGGGGTCATGATTTAGGGCTGACTTGATGGCAGCTAATAAGAGGAAGGAAATTTAGCAAATCCTAATGTAAAGTATTAATATATAGTAATAAACCATATGGTTATTTCTTTTGTTTGAGTAAATAGTTAAAAATGCATGATTTCCTTACTGTCTGGACATAACTGTGATTTCAGGTATTAAAGCCTTTAACACCTTCCCCCTTTTGATCTCCCACCAATTCTGCCCATTGGCAATAAAAGCCTGGGGAATGGACTTTGTAGCTTCCCTTCTTGCCTAGAGATCAGTGTAGAGAAGGGTTGGTGTGAAGCTAAGAGACGAGAGATAAATGACAGGCTCATTAGTTTCAGCGTTGGGTATTTGATCTAAATTGGGCTAATCCTAGTCCTTTTCCTAGGATTTTAGATTTGGAATCAACACTTTTTAACAGGGTAGATAGAAAAACTAAGGCCATATTTTCACCACCACATACACTGAGAAGCACAGAAAGCCAGTTTGCATCAGGAATATTAAATTTACACCCAAGAGATGGATGAAAATGAGAGAACCAATGTTTTCCCGGTCTGTTCTGAGACCTTAGGAGCTATCCTAGTATACTACATTCCCTCTTTTGCTTAGGATAGCTCCAGTGGGATTCTGCTCCTTGCAACCAAGAGACTACTTTCTAACTAGGGTGTTGTCTTGTTTATGGTCAGCAGAGTCACAGAGATGTAATCTTTGTATCCTTTGAATATGTTACAGTACATGGCAAAAGGGACTCTGATGACATAACTAAGGTCACATCTTAAAATAGGAAGATTATAATGGATTATCTTGGCTGGCCCAATCTAATCACATGATCTCATAAAAAAAAAATACAAAACTTTTTGGCTGCAAGCAGAAAGAGATGTGGCAAAGGAGATGAGGAAGAAGGGAAAGTTAAAGAAATCTGAAGCATGAGACTCATCTTGCAGTTGCTGTCTTTGGAGATGAAGGGGCCATGAGCCAGAGAATGCTCAGGGCTTCTAGAGCCTGTGAATGACCTAGTCAACAGTCAGTAAGGCAATGAGAAACTTGGTCCTACAAAAACATGGAACTCAATTCTGCCAACAATCTGAATGAGCTTGGAATCATTCTTTCCAAGAACCTCCCAATAAGAGCCCATCCACTTTGATTCTGGTCTTGTGAAACCCAGAGTAGAGAAACTAGCTGAGCCAGCCTGGACTTCTAACTTACATAACTGAGATAATAAACTTGTGTTGTTTTAAACCACTCTGTGCAAATATATTATGGCAGCAATGGAAAACAAAGAAAGCAGCATAGCATCACCTGAAAGCTTATCAAAAACTAAAATTCAGGCCTACTAAATCTGAATCGATATTTAAGATTATCTAGGTTTCTCTGCATATACTTATTTTTGAGAATCTGCTCTGTAATATTTTGCCTGCTATGGAGGTAAACAAGGTCAAAGACAACTCACATTTGCATTTGTGGCAAAGAAAGAAAAATAAAGTCAAGAATCCTAAAGACCAGAAGAGAAAAAAAAAAAGAAAAAGGACTCCACTAAAGTGATGGGGGCCAAAGATCCTGTGATCAAAGAATGTCGTGTTTTCCTCTGTATCAGAAGAACAATAACCCATATATAACCATATATGGATTTATTGGGAGGAATAAGCTTACACATTGTGGGGCTGGCTAAATAGTCTCCATAAGGCTCTTAGGTCTAGGCAGGCAGGCTGGAACCCCACAAGCATTACATGGAACCCGTATCCAATCTTGTTGCCTCTGACTTGGTAATGAGTATCCTGTAACTGGGGCCCTGCATCATAGATTTAAACACATGGACTAGATCAGGAGTCAGATTAAACTGAAGTAAGAACCAAGGCAAATGGAGCAATTGCAGGCTGATGCTGCTTCACACCATTACGCAATGTGTGTATACAGGCAGTCCCTGGGTTAGGAACATCTGGCTTAGGAACAACTGCTTGCCCTTCAGTGTTATGTAAATTTGCCCTCACTGTGAAATGATTGAACCAGCCCCAACTCACAAGGAATTATTCATCACAGTCACCTTCACTAGCTGCATGTGCCCTTTTAAATAGCTGAAAAGGCTTTGAGCCTTTTCTGCACTGAAAAAAAATAAAAACCCATGAGTCACTTCCAACGCACAGCAACCCTATAGATCAGAGTAGAACTGTCCCCTTAAGGTTTCCAAGGCTGTAATCTTTAGAAGGGAGCTCAGGTGGTGTAGTGCCTAAGGCATTTGACTGCTAACCAGAAGGCTGGCGGTTCAAACCCACCACCCACTCTGAGGAAGGAGGGCTGGGCAATCTATTCTCCGTAGTGATACCACTTCAGGAACCCAAGGAGGGTCCAACTCGATGGACAACAAGAGCAAAACTGGTAAGATCACCAGCACTGCTCCTCCAGCTAAACATACAACACAGACAAGATAGGCCTTGCACTGAGAAAACCTTTGAGAATGATGGAACATAGGTCAGTCTTTTTTGGAAACACTTAAATCTGAATAGATGGAAAGATCATCTCGAAGCCCTAGTTTTCAGGCATGATGATTGTCTAATTCCCTGGTTCACTCTACAGAGCTGGTGGCATGTGTCCCCTGCAGGGCTTTCCTTGTGCTAAAAATCGTTGGTGGTTCCTTGCTTATGGGAACTGTGTTCAGGCCTCCTTCACAGACAACAGTGGAGGCAGCTGTGATTCAATGCAATGTTTCTCAAATTTTAGAGTACATCAGGTGTCTGTGGAGTTAAATAACTAAAGATTCTCACACAGAGACAGCTTCCACATCCCCATAATGAACCAGAGTATCTATGAGCGGGACTCAGGCGGTTTAACCAAGCTTCACAGGTGATGCTGATGTTCATTAATTTGGGGAGTCACTGGTGTAATGGACAGGACTTGAAGTCAGAGACCTGCATTTCAGTTGCTGGTCTCTTCCTTTGTGTGAGAGCTATAAAACCATGCCACCATCTCCATTAACACAAATATCCCCATTTGTAAATGAGAATAATTTCAAGTTACAAAGGTATTTTAGTAATTAAATGAGCAAAGTCCTTTTGTAAGTGTTAAAGTGCTTTACAATATTAAGTGAAATCATTGTCTGTCCCGAAACTGTTTTCAACCTCAATGGTATCAGCTTCTCAAACTGAAAGATCAATTTTAGGTTGATCTTGTCACTGATGATTCCAAACCACGTGCACTCTTGCCTCTGCTTATATTTCATTTTAATGTTTTCTGCCTTTTACCTCCCAAAGCTGCCCATCAAACCCTTTTCTTCAGTAGTCTTTGCTGACCACCCCAGGCAACAGTGATCTGTCCTTTAGAATTCATAGCACTTACTGTCTATCAAGTGTCCTTTAATCCTACACTACATGGAGCATCAGTTCTATTGTCCTATAGACTTATTTACCTAACTATGTGGATCTGATATATCGCAAACTAGGTTATAAACTCCTTGTGAAAAGAAATCTGGTGGTGTGCTTCTTGTTTCCCACAGCACTAATAAAACGAGCAGCACATAGTGGTTCTTTACAAAATATCTCAGGTTTCCTAATAGCAATAATGACTGTAGCTTTGCCCCAAATCATTATAAAGCTAGTATTTCTCTCCCGCCTGCACTCTGTGTAACAGCTTCCCTGTAGGCATCACAGAGGAACAGAATTTTCTCCTTTGTAAAACATCTGATGTTGGGTAAGAGCTGAGTTCTGCCTGAATGATGCCCCACACTCTTTACATTTATAGGGACCATCCCTACTATCGATTTCCTGGTGTTTACTAAGATCTGACCTCTGTCTGAAGGCTCTGCCACAGTCATTACATTGGTAGGGTTTCTCCCCAGTGTGGATTCTCTGATGCTGAATGAGGCTGGT